CAGCGTACATGCCAGCAGTCACTTTGACTGGCGGGGTACCAGCGTACATGCCAGCAGTCACTTTGACTGGCGGGGTACCATCGTACATGCCAGCAGTCACTCTGACTGGCGGGGTACCAGCGTACATGCCAGCAGTCACTCTGACTGGCGGGGTACCAGCGTATATACCAGCAGTCACTTTGACTGGCGGGGTACCAGCGTACATGCCAGCAGTCACTCTGACTGGTGGGGTACCAACGTACATGCCTGCAGTCAATCTGACTGGCGGGGTACCAGCGTACATGCCAGCAGTCACTCTGACTGGCGGGGTACCAGCGTACATGCCAGCAGTCACTCTGACTGGGGGGGGGGGGGGGGGGGTACCAGCGTACATGCCAGCAGTCACTCTGACTGGCGGGGTACCATCGTACATGCCAGCAGTGACTGTGACTGGCGGGGTACCAGCGTACATACCAGCAGTCACTCTGACTGGCGGGGTACCAGCGTACATGCCAGCAGTCACTCTGACTGGCGGGGTACCAGCGTTCATGCCTGCAGTCAATCTGACTGGCGGGGTACCAGCGTACATGCCAGCAGTCACTCTGACTGGCGGGGTACCAGCGTACATGCCTGCAGTCAATCTGACTGGCGGGGTACCAGCGTACATGCCAGCAGTCACCGTGACTGGCATGGTACCAGCGTACATGCCAGCAGTCACTTTGACTGGCGGGGTACCAGCGTACATGCCAGCAGTCACTCTGACTGGCGGGTTACCAGCAAACATGCCAGCAGTCACTCTGACTGGTGGGGTACCAACGTACATGCCTGCAGTCAATCTGACTGGCGGGGTACCAGCGTACATGCCAGCAGTCAATCTGATTGGCGGGGTACCAGCGTACATGCCAGCAGTCACTGTGACTGGCGGGGTACCAGCGTACATGCCAGCAGTCACTCTGACTGGCGGGGTACCAGGGTACATGCCAGCAGTCACTCTGACTGACTGGGTACCAGCGTACATGCCAGCAGTCACCGTGACTGGCATGGTACCAGCGTACATGCCAGCAGTCACTTTGACTGGCGGGGTACCAGCGTACATGCCAGCAGTCACTCTGACTGGCGGGTTACCAGCGTACATGCCAGCAATCACTCTGACTGGTGGGGTACCAACGTACATGCCTGCAGTCAATCTCACTGGCGGGGTACCAGCGTACATGCCAGCAGTCAATCTGACTGGCGGGGTACCAGCGTACATGCCAGCAGTCACTGTGACTGGCGGGGTACCAGCGTACATGCCAGCAGTCACTCTGACTGGCGGGGTACCAGCGTACATGCCAGCAGTCACTCTGACTGACTGGGTACCAGCGTACATGCCAGCAGTCACCGTGACTGGCATGGTACCAGCGTACATGCCAGCAGTCACTTTGACTGGCGGGGTACCAGCGTACATGCCAGCAGTCACTCTGACTGGCGGGTTACCAGCGTACATGCCAGCAGTCACTATGACTGGCGGGGTACCAGCGTACATGCCAGCAGTCACTCTGACTGACGGGGTACCAGCGTACGTGCCAGTCACTCTGACGGACGGGGTACCAGCGTACATGCCAGCCATTCTGACTGGCGGGGTACCAGCGTACATACCAGCAGTCACTCTGACAGGTGGGGTACAACCGTAGATGCCAGCAGTCACTTTGACTGGCGGGGTACCAGCGTACATGCCAGCAGTCACTTTGAATGGCGGGGTACCAGCGTACATGCCAGCAGTCACTCTGACTGGCGGGGTACCAGCGTACATGCGAGCAGTCACTCTGACTGGCGGGGTATCAGCGTACATGCCAGCAGTCACTTTGACTGGCGGGGTACCAGCGTACATGCCAGCAGTCACTTTGACTGGCGGGGTACCACCGTACATGCCAGCAGTCACTCTGACTGGCGGGGTACCAGCGTACATGCCAGCAGTCACTCTGACTGGCGGGGTACCAGCGTATATACCAGCAGTCACTTTGACTGGCGGGGTACCAGCGTACATGCCAGCAGTCACTCTGACTGGCGGGGTACCAGCGTACATGCCAGCAGTCACTCTGACTGGTGGGGTACCAACGTACATGCCTGCAGTCAATCTGACTGGCGGGGTACCAGCGTACATGCCAGCAGTCACTCTGACTGGCGGGGTACCAGCGTACATGCCAGCAGTCACTCTGACTGGCGGGGTACCAGCGTACATGCCAGCAGTCACTCTGACTGGGGGGGGGGGGGGGGGGGGTACCAGCGTACATGCCAGCAGTCACTCTGACTGGCGGGGTACCAGCGTACATGCCAGCGGTGACTGTGACTGGCGGGGTACCAGCGTACATACCAGCAGTCATTCTGACTGGCGGGGTACCAGCGTACATGCCAGCAGTCACTCTGACTGGCGGGGTACCAGCGTTCATGCCTGCAGTCAATCTGACTGGCGGGGTACCAGCGTACATGCCAGCAGTCACTCTGACTGGCGGGTTACCAGTGTACATGTAAGCAGTCACTTTGACTGGCGGGGTCAGAAAATTGGTACTCGAAGGTGTCGCTAAACACGCTAAATACGGACTCGGATTGCTGTTTTTTTGTGAAAGGTTGAGTGCGCATCTGGGCACGCACGAACCGCAAGCGTACCGCGTGCACGCGCCAGGGTGTGAACACAGCTTAAGCTTCAATTTGTGGCCTCCTGCTATGCTGCAATTGCGGCTGGGGTCGACGTCTTCACCAGGATTTGAGGCGCACCCTTCAGTACTCAACAAAACGCTGAACAAGAAGCGTGTTCAAATTCAGGTCATGAAACTTTGTTTTCAAGCAATGGATGCCTGCAGGTGTCAGGTGATGACGTCATACTAGCATTTTTTACACTAGATTATAATGAGCAGTGGCAGTAGCAGCAGCAGAGAGATAGGGTTAGCAGTTCAGCACCTTCTTTCCTTGACAAGCACTGCGCTCATGTTGTTGCTGTTTTCAGGCCTGCTACCTTCGCAGCAACATGCGCCACAGGTAGCGCATTTCAGGAATTTGAGAACACTTTGTTCTTGCAAAACTCAACTTCAGCATGCCAAATTCAAGAGATATACCAGGATTCGTATTCCTTTGTTTGCAAACAAAATCACGGTTTGCGTCAGACTCGGCTAGAGGAAGAGTTTTCCGCGCTCCGCATGTACGCCACCAACCCTTAAAGGATCAAGGCGCAGATGCAGCTCCTAAAGCGGTGGGAGGGAATGTGGGCCGGTATGAACTACAGAAAAAAATTCGCACTCTGGGCGAAATATTACGGAACGCGAAGAATTTGTTTGATGCGGAAGAGAGCTCCAGGACCACAACGGCTTTCGTAACAATTGCGTGAGAAGGTTCATACCAATGTTCGAACACAGAAAACAGTGATTCTGACAGCCTGACTAAGGCAATCAAGTCACAAACATTGCCATTTGCGAAGCGACAATTGTAATGACAAGTCGGAAGTACCTATATTTTTGTTATTCAAACTGATAGAAACCTCTTTGCAATACAAAACCCGCTCCCGATAATAAGATTTTTTTAAGGGGGACATGTTCCCCAGACCCCCTCTTTCTCTTCTCCTCCTTTCGGTCATACAACTTTTTAGAACCTGGTAGCGCCCCAGCAAAGTAATCTGTCAGGGACTAGGACTGCCCTGAAAAGATAACAAAATGCAAACCCCAACAGGACTGGAACCTGCGACCTTGCTTGTCATGAGCATAGCTCTAACCATCTAAGCTATGGCACTGAGCAGAACCTAGAAAGCGATGACAACTTTTTCACTAAAATTTCAGCAAAAAAATTTCCAATTAAAAGGGAAGTTAAGGCAAAAATTACAATTTCACCAGTTGTAGTCTTGGGGGTGCTGAGTCAAATGGTCTTGGTCCGAGAAAGCTGAGACGCTCCCTTCCTACTTGAATCCCAATCGAACTCGCGCACTTCCACTGAAACTGGGTGACTGCGCCCTACGAGATGGGGATTTGTATGCAAAATGTCACTAAAAGCGCCATTTCGTTCCTATAAAAGCACGGATGACCGCGATTGGCCCATATGTTGTAGTCTTTTGGACGCTGAGTCGACTGGTTTTGGTCCGAAAAGGCTGTGATGCAGCGTTCCTCCTATATTCCCAATCGAACATGGTTGAAGAAGCGGTCACGTGCTCCTGCGTACACCAGTCACCTGGTCACCGTGCCTGCAGGGTACAACTTACTAGCCTGTTTGACCTTTTTTGGGTGCACTCCTGTCACTCGAGTTGAACCTTGGTGTGAAATTTGTCGCCTGCTGGCGTGGTGACCAGGTGATTTGGGCACCCAGGAGCATGTGACCGCATGTTCAACCATGTTCGATTGGGAATAAAGGAGGAACGCTGCATCGCAGTCTTTTCGGACCAAAACCAGTCGACTCAACGTCCAAAAGACTACAACATATGGGCCAATCGCGGTCATCCGTGCTTTTATAAGAACGAAATGGCGCTTTTAGTGACATTTTGCATACAAGTCCCCATATAGTAGGGCGCAGTCACCCAGTTTCGGTGGAAGTGCGCAAGTTCGATTGGGATTCAAGTAGGAAGGGAGCGTCTCAGCTTTCTCGGGCCAAGACCATTCGACTCAGCACCCCGAAGACTACAACTGGTGAAATTTAAATTTTGCCTTAACTTCCCCTTTAATTCTGTTTTTCTCGTGAATGGTCACCGTTTCCGATTGGAAGAAGTCCTTTCTTTGGAATTTGACGAAATTATTCAACGACTAATTTTCTCTGCTTGTAAAACACACGGAATGAGAGTGAGTGGATATTGCAGCAGCAGAAATACCTTCGCGTTTGAATTGTCGTTGCAGCGCTTCACTACGAACAATACAATACCATGCGGACAAATGTGAGCACACGACACGGAGTACTGTACATCAGCAGAAGCCTTTTCTAATGAATCGTTACAGGTTAGGGCTGCTGCACTACTAGAACTCAGCGCACACCTTCAGTGAAATGTTGGGGACTGAATGGGAGATGCTTACCTGACTTCAAGCCAGGGAGAAGCACCTGCTCCCGATAACGGCCGGGTGGTTCCTGTCCGGCGTCCGCTATTCTCGTAGCGTTGACCCGGACGATTGGAAGTCCCACAAATCTAAACGCCACCTGCCGATGGGCAGGTAACGAACGAAAGCGCTTCACTTCCGCAACCAGATTGCAACGGAGCGTCACTCAAACTCCCAGAAAATAACAAAAATTATGAAGGGCCGCAAGCAGAACACGCATCCGCCCAGACCACCCACAGACGGCAATGAGCAAGAAAAAAACAGATTCCGCATTGAACTGAAGCACGGACGGTGCAGCAGTCCAAGATCCTGTCTACACGTTCGTTGCAAGCTCCAGCGGCCAGAGCTCTGTGGCTTCATTCATCTGTCTGATCTGGCAAAAGTTGTAGATTTACGCGTAGATTATGTACATGACTGTACAACATGACATCAGATTCTACTGCCTGCTCCACACTACAAAAGTACAGTGCTACTCGTGTACATCAACACGTACTAGTAGATGTACGAGTAGGTCTAAAATCATTGCGGGCCCATCTTTCGGCTGATACCACGCCAACTCCGAAATGAAGCCGACTGTCAACTGTGTCGCCAGAGGCGGACTACAGTAGCCGTTCAAGTGTCATCAACAGTAGCTGTTCAACGTTGATGGATTACTATCGCTGTCGGGTGTCTTTCGCGCTGCTACGTTCCGCTGTGTTGTGTGTCAGCCTCTGTCAGGGGTGCTCGGTCGGCCCGTCATCGTCCAGTTTACATGCTTCGTGAGTTGGCGATGGTGGAGGGTCGGGTTCCCCTGCCGACGCTGCACCGAGCTTGTTTTGTGTGAAAGTAAAACTTTTATTATTATTCTTATATCTGTACTTCAAGTATTACAAAATATTTGAGAGGCTTTGAATCGTTTTTATCAAAATCTAAATATTTGCCGGGTTGGAAGGTGGGAATCAAAGCTGTTCAAGTGTCATCAGTGAGCGATGTCGCCTGTACAGTGCACTATAAATTAGTATAATTATGATTATGTAGACGCTGGGCTTGTCTTTTCGAAGACATCACGTCACGTGGTACACAGCCGGGCTAGATCGTAGTAGACGCAAGGCAGGGCAGAGGAAATGAGATCCTTTTTTTTACAGGCAGTAGCTACAGCCAGTTCAAGGTCAAAGGCATATGCGTGAAAAGGCTGTCATCCACAGCAGCGCTCTACACAACACATCATCATCAGGCATGTACTGTCGTGAACATGGAAATTCGGTCGCACGTCTAGCGAAGTAGCGGCCCCAGGGCGCTGGCCATGCAGCCATGGCATGCTTTATTACGGGCTGCTGCTGGTCGCATCGTTTCAACAATAACATGTGCGCTGCATGCAGCGACGACGTTCTGTACGCGCTGAGGGCGCCGGCCCCTGTCGATCGACTGGATTTCCATGTCCGCGACAGTACATTGTAGTCATTCATCCTGAGCCACTCGCGTCTTTTTTCGGTCAGTCGGCTACTACATTGTATCATAATCGTCTTGGGGGTTAGACAATGGGAAGTAGCCATGTAGGGGCGTGAGCCCGCCTTTCGGCACCGGAAGAGGACCTACACCTTGATCTGGTGAGCTGCGTCTCGTTTTGATCATGCTGACTGAGGCTACTCCTTTTCACAGTTCGGCCTCCACTAGGCCCCGGTCACACATGCACTTTTTTTGGCGGTTCCGCCAAAGCGTAACTAACTTACGCTTCCGCCGTTGCCTCGGCAACGGCGGAGGCGTAAGTTACACTTTGGCGGAAAGTTTGGATTTCGCTACGCCAAAAAAATGCGAGCGGAGCCTCCGCTTTCGCAGATCCGCTTTGGCGGAACCTGCAAGGTGATGGCTTTGGAGTTTGGTGTGCTACTTCTGCACTAAGTTCTGGTGTTGTTTGGTTGCCGTTTGGTATTCAGTTTTCATATTGTTCTTCTTTGCCAATGAACTATACGTTCTGGAGATCTCGCAAACCATACTGCATCGTTATGAGTGGATAGTTGGTGAGGGAATCCGTCTCCCAACTCATTGGCCGCGATCGCGAACGATCTCCAACACTCTCCTTCTCTCTCCAAGCAATACGTCCACCAGAGTATGCAACACTAGGACTGCAACCGCTGGGTCGATGATGGATCATGGAGGAGGCAACGACACCCTGCTATAAAACTATTTGAATTTGATATTGTAAACTAAACTAATATTCAAATACACCCGTGCTGGGCCGCAGTGAATGTGCCCCAAATCCACGAGTGTACTTGACAGGAGACAATCAGCAGCCTGTCAGCGAACCAAGATAGCTCTACTTGCATGCTTGTACAAGCGAAGGTCGCTTCAACTCGGACAAGAAGGAGGCAACGACACCCTGCTATACAAGTATTTGAATTTGATATTGATGTAAACCAAACTAGTAATATTCAAATACACCTGTACTGGGCCGCAGTGAATGCGCCCCAAATCCACGAGTGTACTTGACAGGAGACATTCAGCAGCCTGTCAGCGATCCACGATAGCTCTACTTGTACAAGCGAAGGTCGCTTCAACTCGGACAAGAACATTTCATAGGACGTGCTGCATTTGCATTCTCTCCGCCAAAGGGGAGCGTTGCGTTGAGGAGCACAGTAGTCTACATGTATGTGTGACCGCTGCATCGTGTGGTCCGCCAAAGCGGCTGCGGTAGTTCCGCTTTCCGCCTCCGCAAAAGCGGTGCAAGCTTTTCATGTGTGACCGCGGCCTAAGGCGCGGTGTCGGGGGGGGGGGGGGGGGGGGCTAAGGCCGTGGTCACACATGAAAAGTTTGCACCGCTTTTGCGGAGGCAAAAAGCGTAACTACTGGAGACGCTTTCGCGGACCACACGATGCAGCGGTCACACATACATATAGGACGCTTTCGATTACATGCATTTCCGTCAATTCTAGAATAGGGCTTGAAAGTGATGACGTCAAAACGGCCAGGGAGTAGTAAGTTGACATCAGATTTCTATTTTTGGATCCACTAAGGTGTGACTTTGCTATTGCCTATGGTATTGATGGTATGGTATTGATTTATTTGAATTCGGTATCTCAACAGTACATTGTACAACTTGGGAAGATCCGAATGACATAGATACATAAACATAAAAGTGGAGTAGCTGCTACAGCGGATCATTTTATCGCAGATTGTGGGACTAAACTAATACCAGTATGCAAGTACACGAGAAATAAAAGCTGAATAAATACGACTGCATGACATTGGAGAAAAGCACCAATTAGAGCAAAACAAAGCGACACATCACTCATCGAAAACATTTTCAAAAAGGAGCTGTTTTAAAGGGGAAGTTAAGGCAAAAGTTAAAATTTCACCAGTTGTAGTCTTCGGGGTGCTGAGTCGAATGGTCTTGGTCCGAGAAAGCTGAGACGCTCCCTTCCTACTTGAATCCCAATCGAACTCGCGCACTTCCACCGAAACTGGGTGACTGCGCCCTACGAGATGGGGATTTGTATGCAAAATGTCACTAAAAGCGCCATTTCGTTCTTATAAAAGCACGGATGACCGCGATTCGCCCATATGTTGTAGTCTTTTGGACGCTGAGTCGACTGGTTTGGGTCCGAAAAGGCTGCGATGCAGCGTTCGCCCCTAATTCCCAATCGAACATGGTTGAACAAGCGGTCACGTGCTCCTGCGTACACCAGTCACCTGGTCACCGTGCCTGCAGGGTACAACTTACAGCCTGTTTTGACCTTTTTTGGGTGCAGTCCTGTCACTCGAGTTGAACCTTGGTGTGAAAGTTGTCGCCTGCTGGCGTGGTGACCAGGTGATTTTGGCACCCAGGAGCACGTGACCGCTTCTTCAACCATGTTCGATTGGGAATAAAGGAGGAACGCTGCATCGCAGCCTTTTCGGACCAAAACCAGTCGACTCAGCGTCCAAAGGACTACAACATATGGGCCAATCGCGGTCATCCGTGCTTTTATAAGAACGAAATGGCGCTTTTAGTGACATTTTGCATACAAATCCCCATCTCGTAGGGCGCAGTCACCCAGTTTCGGTGGAAGTGCGCGAGTTCGATTGGGATTCAAGTAGGAAGGGAGCGTCTCAGCTTTCTCGGACCAAGACCATTCAACTCAGCACCCCGAAGACTACAACTGGTGAAATTTTGATTTTTGCCTTAACTTCCCCTTTAACCGGGTACATTGTGGCCCGTCATTAAGAAGGCAGGCAAGATGGGCGTTAAATGCAGAAGACGTATTGCAAGACTTCATTTCGAAGGGCAGAGCATTCCAAAGTAAAGCAATCCTACTAGACAATGAGCGATATGCCTAAGTATGTGGGTGCATAGCAACCCACTCATGTCGCATGCAGGTGTGACTTTTATTTCGCCACCAGTTGTAACCCCGCCCCCAGTAGCCAAATCAGTCAGTTTCACTGGTTACATCACCTTCCTGAGAGTAAGACGGCTTGAAATGTGCTTGGATCCATACAAAAACTGGATCCAAGTGGATGCAATTTTTGAATTTTTGAAATTGTTGCTATGCTGTGACGTAG